AAAAAAAAAAAAATGTCGACCTTCAAACGATTGAGATCTGGATTGAATGCAATTATAATAATCGTTCATTTCACATTTATCTAATTAATAATAGATTTGTTAGACTTGCAAAACAATGACCAGTTCCATTGGGGCAGAGAGCACGCAATAAAAAGATCGCTGCTAACAAAGAATGATAAAGTAGTAAATAATACAAATGAAGCTCCATTACAAGACACATTTAGGCAAAAACGACAATCAGGAAGCATCGTTAAGGACAATCAATTATTGGTAAAATGAAATTTCGCATTACAAATATCTATCTGCACACGTTCATACAAACGCAATTGCATGGATTGTTTTGATAATTAGAAAATAAATTATATAATTGCTATAAGACGTTTATAATTAAATTTTAATTACGGTGATAGGGTTTCCATTCTAATATAAAATACATTAAATATATTTGTAATTTTTTTTTTTTTTTTTTTTTTTTTTTGCGTTAGGAAAATAAAGAATATGGCGTGTGCCGTACACCGACTGGTGAGGAGGGAACATGCCGTCACGTTATTTATTGCCGTATGCCAGAATTGAAAGATGATATTTGGCGTATGCTCTCGCAGCTATGTGTTATCGAGAAAAGGTTAAATAAGAGCAAAATGTAGTTCAGAAAGATTGTTGCAAAAATATTTTCAAACTTTTTTTTGTGCATGCGTTCCAGTGCAATTGGTATATGCTGCCCGACACGCATTATAGGCCGATTAGGTCCACAAATTATTGCAAATGTCAATAACAATGATTTGTCTAATTCAGGCGTTATTAATCAACCTGAACAACGTGGTTGCGGCATAGCTACTCGGCAATTTCCTCGTGTAACTGGTGGACGGCCGGCTGAACCTGACGAATGGCCTTGGATGGCTGCTATTCTAAGGCCCGGTCTCTCGTATGTATGGTGTGGTGGCGTTTTAGTGACGGATCGTCATGTTTTGACGGCCGCCCATTGCATTCATAAAATTCGCAAGGAAAACTTATTCGTGCGCCTCGGTGAATATAACACGTTATTGTTGAATGAGACAAGAGCTCGCGATTTTCGCATAGGTGCTATGGTCACTCATATCGATTATGATCCACTAACATATGAACATGATATTGGTTTGATTAGAGTACATCGTCCTACCATTTTTAATACCTATATATGGCCAGTTTGTATGCCACCAATCGGTGAAAATTGGGAAGATAAAATGGCTATCGTCACCGGTTGGGGTAGTAAGAATTTTGGTGGCCCGCATTCAGATATTTTAATGGAGGTAAATTGACTTGCTCAAGTTAAAATGCACATTTTTGCCTTTTAATTTACTAATCCAAAATTTATTCGCTACGCCTACTTTTACACGTCCGATAGGCTTAAAATCAAATAAATTTTCTTTGGCTAAAAATCTTTGTGCATTTTTCGTACCAGGTTACTATACCCGTTTGGAAATTGGACGATTGCCGCGAGGCCATGCTTGAACGCATAACGGAAGGAATGTTATGTGCTGGTTTTCCAGAAGGTGGGCAGGATTCTTGTCAGGGTGATAGCGGCGGTCCTCTCTTATTACAATTGCCTAACAGACGTTGGGTAACAATTGGGATTGTATCATGGGGAGTGCGTTGCGGTGAGCCCAATCGCCCTGGCATGTACACGCGTGTGGACCGATATTTGCATTGGATTGTCGAGAACTCAGATGTTTAAACGCGCGTTATTCAATATTGTTTGTAAGATTTTTTTTTTTTTTATTGTTTTGATTATATACTAATATTAAACAAATTTACCAGAAATTTAAAAACGAATTTGTAATACATATCTAAACACTTATCGCTGACTCTTGCTTTACAGAAATATTGGAAAAAAGTAACTGGAAATGTTTAACAAGGACAATTTTTAATAAAAATGTATATACATTCGTATGTATTAACGTCCCAATCAAAACCGAAAGTGGCGTACAAAAATTTTTTTAATGCTTAGCATTAAGTTTTTCAATTCATTTTATTGAACTAATTCTTGTTTTTGCTTCTGTGGCTCTTCATTTATAGCGAAAGCTATTTTATAGACATCATCATAAACTGCAGCAAAGTGAACCTCTAAGCCGTCGGTAATGTACTGTGGTAATTCAGCAAAATCTTTGCGATTTTCTTCAGGTAAAATTATGCATGTAATACCACTGCGCTTAGCCTTTGAACCGGAACCGGAACCGAAATCGAAATTAGAAACGCAGTTAGATAATGAGATTGCAAAAAGTTTTAATTTAAGCGAACAAAAGAACTTACCGCTATAGTTTTCTCTTTAATACCACCCACTGGCAGAACTTTACCGATCAGCGATACTTCACCTGTCATAGCAATATTCTGACGTATAGGTCGTTGATTCGCTAGTGATAATAATGCCGTGACTATGGTAATGCCTGCGCTGGGTCCGTCTTTCGGTGTGGCCCCTTCTGGTACATGCAAATGGATATGACTAAGGAAATACATAAAACGGTTTAATTGTTATGCGTATCATAATTTAGAGGTGCTTTACCTATTTTCTAGGAACGTGTTTTTTGGGTCAACCGAACGCATAAAATTTCTGGCTACCGTTAAAGAAATTTGTGCAGATTCTTTCATTACATCTCCTAAGTTGCCGGTAAGATGAATAGTGCCAGCTAAGTCTTCTTTCGGCGGAGTTATGGTTTTACGTTTGGCAGTTTCTATGTATAAAGCCGAACCACCCATTGCCGTCCAAGCCAAACCCATGACAACACCCGGAGGTGTTTCTTTGTACAAACGGTCAGAAGAGAAAATATGTTTACCCAAGAACGACGTTAGATTATTGTTGTCGATAATGTAGTGTTCAGCTTCTTTTTTAACAATTTTGAAAGCCACTTTCCGCACTACTTTTTCGATTTGCTTTTGTAAGTTTCTTACACCGGACTCACGGCAATAGTTGCGTATTAATGTATTCAGTGCGTCTTCGCTTATGGTGATGTGTTTTTTATCTATACCGCATTCATTCATTGCTTGGGGTATTAAATATTGCCGAGCTATCGCTACTTTTTCTTCGGCTACATAACCAGACATTTCGATAAGTTCCATACGATCCCTTAAAGGCTCTGGGATTGTTTCTATAACATTTGCCGTACAAATAAAAAGAACGTGAGATAAATCTACTGGCACATCTAGATAATGATCCAAAAAGTTGGCATTTTGTTCAGGATCAAGTAGCTCCAATAGAGCTGAACTAGGATCACCCTGGTAACCTCTTTTTGAGTATAAAAATTGTCAATATATCAATTGAAGTTTTTAAGTTCTAAGACAATTTTAATACTCACTTGCCAATCTTATCAACTTCATCGATTAAAACTAAAGGATTTTCGGTTTTAGTTTTTTTTAAGCATTGAATCAATTTGCCAGGCATGGCACCTACATAAGTACGACGATGTCCTTTAATTTCGGCCACATCTGTCATGCCACCCACACTAAAGCGAAAATATTCTCGATTTAACGCCCGAGCAATGGAACGGGCTAAAAAAGGATTTAGGAACTTAAAATCATTGCTCTTTCATTGCTCCTCAAGTCTCTTACCTATACTTGTCTTACCAACACCAGGTGGACCATGAAAGCATAATATTTTGCCTTGAGTAGTGCCTTTCAAGTGACTAACTGCTATAAATTCTAGAATTCTTTTCTTTATATCATCCATGCCATAATGATCATTATCTAAAATCTTAGTTGCCTCTTCTAAATCCAAATTCTCTTTACTGGTAACACCCCAAGGCAAGGACGTTAACCAATCCAAATAGTTACGTGTCACATTAAATTCAGAACTGTGACTTTCTAAGAAATTCAGCTTATTGAGTTCTTCATCAATTACGGTCATAACAATGCTTGGTACTTTTTTCGTTTTGAGTTTTTCACGATATTTTTCCCCGATAGCATCTTTGTCATCCTTTTCAATACCCAATTCCTTTTTAATAACTTTCAGTTGCTCATGCAGTATGTATTTGCGATGTTGTTGTTTCACCTTTTCCTCTACCTCACGTCCAATTTTTTGTTGCAATTTCGATAATTCAAGTTCTTTTTTAAGCACAGCCAGAGCTAGCAAAAGACGTTTAGGAATCTGGAAAAGGAAGAAGCGAATTATGATTCTTAAATAGATGTGAAAGCGCAGAAAATAGATGTTAAGCTCACATCCATTTCTTCCATAATTTTTTGTAATTCCTCAGGCTCAGCAGCCGACAATGAAGCGCCTAAATCACACAGGTATACGGGATTATCGACCACACGTTGATTTTGATGTAACATTTGCTGTAAACTTTCCCTAAAATTAAATTTAAAAATTTACTGCAATTGCTTTCTCATATTTTTATTCCTCACCTATATAAAGGGTTCATGGTAATGATATCACGTATGGTTTTAATTACTTCTTGAGTCAAAGCTTTTACTTCTTCGGTTTGTTTGAAATTTTCATGTTGAATATTAATTACCTCAACCATGAGTATAGGAGACGTTGATGAAGTTGCCCCAGGTGCTGCGGCGTTAGAGTAAGGCTGTTTTGATGTTTTAGAAGTTTCTGGTTTCTTTGCTGCTGTTGCTGTGGGCGCTGAATTATTAGTAAGATTATCGGTAGCAGTTATGGGTGCACTAACGGTGTTAGTATCAGAGGGGATGATCTTAGATGTATCGGTGGGCATGACATTAGTAGTATCAGTAGGGAAAGGATCTGGGGTGCCGGCAGGCTTAGTAGGAGCGATAGAAGCGTCAGTAGGAAGAGCCGCAGGGGTTTCAATAGAACTAGCAGGATTAATAACTGTTGAAGTAGCAGTGGGAGTTTTTGTAGAGGTAGAAGTTGCCGTACTGTTGGCGGTAGATGTATTTGATTCTGATTTAACTTCCGGCTTACTGTTGCGATTTACTCTCGATTTGCGGGGTACCCTACGACGTTCAGCATCGGTAGTACTAGGTCCGGTTTTCGCGGCGTCTTCAGCTGGGATGTGTAATTTGAGATTAAATAGTGGATAATGTATTGTGGTCGTTTTTTCTGAGTAAAAATGAATTGGAGAAGATTTGATGGAATAATGCGATTTATTTATGATTAATAAATGAAAAAAAGAAATATTAAATGAAACGTAACTGTAAAGGTGTTGGCAATAGAAGGAGTTGTACTCAGAGAGAGAGAGAGAGAGAGAGAGAAGGAAGGAAGGGAGAACTCACGCATTTTATAATATATAGTATATATAAAGCGAAATATCTTCGGCAATATTTATATTTTATTTAATTTATGGTATAAAACTTACCTTTCTTCGTTGGTACTAGCTCTTCAAGTATCTGTCCAGTAATCTTGATACGCCTGTGAGCCACCACGACCATTCGTAATTTATCACCCAAATCTTGAAGTTCTTGTATCTGCGCAAATGTTCCTATTTTAAAAATATCATCCAATTTGTCCACAACTTCGTTGTCAGTCTCGCTGTCTTTTTTCATAAATATGCCAAGATATGGTTGATTTAATTTCACTTTTCGTCTTAGCAAATCAATCAACATCGGATTTGTGACCTATTTTCCAAGGAGAATCATGTCATATGAAATTTTTAAATTTATATAACCAACAATATATGCCTATTTTACCTCCAAGATTTTCATAAACCGAGGAAAGACTGGATTCCGACGAATGGCCAATAGAGGAAGATGTGGCCACACTTCCGGCACCGCCACTGTTGCCGGTAATTGCGGCTCTTTGTTTATAATATATTCATGGGGTTCTTGTTCGATTAGTTCTTCTTCCTCATCACGTTTATTGCGGTTACTGCAGAGTCTTCTCGCACATATGGCCAACGATCGTTGCTGTTGTTGTTTTATTGTCAATGCATTAAAGCGTTTTAGCGTCGAACAATCTTTAGCGAAGGAGGCTTTTTGGCGTTCGTAGATCACTAGTCGACTTATGTTTCGTCTTAGCAATGTATGATGCTTCAATAAACGAGTTAACATTTTTGTGTTTGACACAATATTATTTTGATTTAAAATTTTTCTATCTCTATATCTGATGCAATTAAACGTAAAATAATTCAACTCGTCACTCCGACCTTAAAATTTTTTCTGCTTTTCAAAGTAAAAGCTGATTACTTTGACAACCGTAGAGTTACCCTTATCTTGTAAATTGATTCGAATAATGACAATCTTTTTATTTAAAAAACTGTCTTTTGAAGTGAAATATTGCCCTTTCCCATGACGTCTTTTGATGTAAGAAAGGCTCTTATTGTGATCACAATTGGAATAAGAACAAACCTGGTTAAAAGTGCACTGCCTGTATTTTATTAATGATTACGAATAAAAACCAGAAACGACGAAACGTTGCGACAATGAGATCTTATTTTCGCTTTCGGGTTAAAAGCGCCCCAGCAGTAAAAACAATAGACAGCTGCTTTACCGTATTATTTTAGAGGAGAATGAAAATTTTTTAGAGCCAAAAACGAAGAAACATACATAACGTAAACATAAATACCAAATTTATGCAAAGTAATCATGAAAAAGTTAATATAAAAGTAAACGAAACCTGATAGTGATAAGGAAGTCTGATTAATGTAAATAAACGGGGAGATGATGGGTAAGACCACTTTTTGGAAAACGTGACGTTGACGGAGATTTTACGATATCGTTTGAGCAAATGTATCTGCACGGTCATGAGAAATTTGAAGAAACTGCAAGGATGAATTTGGGCAATTTTGATTCGTTATATGAATTTGAGGAAGTTAAAGTTTATAAAAGTTCAATCGTGTGAGTAGCTCTATATGAGAAATACATTTGAAAGCATTCATATTTGAAAAATAAATTTTAATGTTACTTACGGATCAAAATTCATATTTATTATTAACATAACACGTATTAGCAATATTCAGTTCATCTTCACTCTCGGTGCTATCATTGGTCTCGTTAATGTTAACGTTCGTATTACTTTTATCTCGTATTTCATTCTCGTATTTATGTCGTATTTCACATACCTCAAATTTAGAGATGAATTATTGAAAAAATATTTTAATGTTATCTTCGGACCATAAGAAGCACCCAAAATTTGAGTCAATTTTTCTATGGCACCTAAAAAAGGGCTCATCCTTAATCCAAACTTACGTAATTTTACTTGTTTTTTTTTTTTTTTTCTAATTTGTGTACTCCAAATCGGAAGTATGCTGTCGAGTTACGAATTTTTTTGTAAATAAGCCTTTAAGGTAAAGTCCAGTAAGTAGCGTCTACGTTCGCTGCAATCAACTCTCGTGGTATGGCAATTTGTCGTAACTTACTTAAATGACTTTCATTTAAGTTATTTTCATAATTTAAAATTTTTAAGCATTAGTTTCTTAATCTTTTATTTATATTAATTTTTGTAAGATGCTATGCAGGGTTCCTGTTGGTGCTGATATATTTTGAAGGGTCTGTCCCTAAGATAAAGCGTTTCTGTGCCTTAATATTTATAGCGTATTAAAGTTTCGAACAGTAATTATAGCAAAGTTTCCCTTAGTTATGAAAGCCGAATATTTTTCGCAGCGTAATTTTTCCAAGATATCTGCATATACATTATATTCTAAAAAGAATAAATATGTATGTTCTTCCGCTTGTTTCATCGTCGCACTCAATATTAACGTTCTTTTCTTCTACATAATCATCGTCGTCACGTCCTGACCACTTAATAGATAATCTGCTTCCAATACAAATATGTCGGTTAGCCCTTTCGATATTTTTTTCGCCGGCGGTTCGTCTACTCTAAAAATACATTATCGTTCTCTTCACAGTTAGGACTTCCGCTGTCAAATTGTGGGTGAAAAATCTTCCTGGATAATTATTTTGTCATAAGTTATTTTATCTCCTAATGAACCAAGCTTTTTTCGCAAAAAGTTTCTAGGTTCCCTTGATTTAATTTTCTGATCAATTAAAAGTTACTTATCCATATATACCAATAATATTTTGTATAATAATTTATCATGGATACTACGTTAATAAAAACCTGTAAAACTTTTATCTTTCCATCCATTTATAGCTCATTATAATCATGTACGCAAGTGAAAAGGCAGTGGGCGACGGTCACCAATAAAATGTAATTTTGTAAGCAAATTTGCTGGTGATCGTCACCAAATACGCTTTCTGAGTTACGTCAAATCTGGCTACACCAGAATTGCTATCGCTGGAACAAATTTGCATTAGTATTTGGAAATTAAATTGTGTTTGAAATTGAATTTATAAAGTAACTCTTACCCAAGAAAAAGGGAAAAAAATTTGGTAAAAGTAATAAAAAATTTTTTTTTTTTAAATGTCGAGCACAATTGAAGAATGTTAACCAATGTGTACATGTTCGGTGCAATGCATCGTAACTTTGCTCATAAAAGAGCTGCTACAGTTCAAAGAAGTTTGGAACAGTCACAAATGCTTTTGCAAGTATTCTCTACAAAGTGAAAGGAGATTATTTGAATACTTCAGCACGGTGGACCTATGAAATGGATGGTATTGACGTTTGTGTGGAGACTTTTCAATTGTGGTAGTCTGGCGAAGAAGTTAAAGTATTGCTGGTGCAAAAATTACAAATATTATAATCGTCTAAAAAATAGAATTAATTTTTAAAATTGTTTATAACTCGCACAAAAATTAAATAAGTATTGAAAGTATGATTTCCTATTTCGATCGAAAAAAACTTTTTATATATTGGATCTACTTTGCTTTGCATAGTTTTTTTTATTTGTTCATAAATCCAAATAATTCTTTGCTGTAAACAGTTGTTACATACTATCGTGAGACCATTTCGCATTATCGTTCCTTTCCCTCATTATTTGCAATGCTTGCTGTTGATATTGCAGGTTTTGCTTCCGATATTCTTTCTCATCCTGGGTCTTTTCCCGATACAACTCCTTGACGTTAGAGCCCGCCTTTCTCCTTGATGAATAAATGCAAAAATTAATTATTGAAGCTATTATTTGTTGTTAATAAAACGTACTTACTTCGTTTCCTAAGTTGCACTATTTGGAATATCGTCCGAGACAGCAATGAATTGTCACTAAAATTTTTAATTGAAGCGCAAAATGTAGCTACGTCTTCAGCGCCCGGAATTGCAATTCCAAAATAGCCAAAAAGATAATAATAATTCTTCTTTACCAGCTGCACTTAAACTCTTGAATGACACCTTTTCTTATTTGGAATAGTTAAACACATCACATTTTGCTTCTGTTTTTTCAAATCCTTCATATGAGGAAACTCCATTTTTATTTGCTTGTAAGGAATTTTCGTCAGCGCCGTTTCATTTGATGTCGCTGACTGATAAAGAAAGCCACATTATAATCTTTGAATGTTGTTTACATAAAAGAAAATTTTTTTACTTATCCCGAGCGATTAAATATAAATTTCCTGTAAATTGATTATAATCATTATTTGGTATTTTCTAAGAGCGTTGAAACTCATTTATCATTTTATAGTCAAACATAAATTTTCCATTGTTTTCTTTTCATTTAATTTTACATGCTTGCGAATGTTTACCAAATGTGGCTTGTTTATATAGAATAAACAAATGTCAATTTACATTTCATTTTTTACGCTTCCCTCAGTTCTTAATGCATTATAATGCGAAACTTAGTGTCAAGTATTGGAAAGCTGGCGACGATGGTACAAGATTAGTCTCTTAACTAAAATCAACTGTAACCCCAAAAAAAAAAAAAAATTAAGGCAATAACTACGGCGACAGTTGCCTGATTGCATGATTATTTTCGCTTTGTAATGTGTTTTAATTTTTACACTTCTTAAAAAAAAGGATTGTTTCTTTTTCATTGTTCCTGTTGCCGAACACTGTGGCGAGGGAGAACACAAAAGTTGTAAACACCATGAAGCTTCGCTTGCATTGCAAGTATTTTTTTGGTTTGCAAGTTGAAAAATGGAAGAAGTCTGCTATCTTGTAGGCCCATAATCCAGTAACGTATTTTAAGTCTTTAGTTTTATAGTTGTAAAAATTATTGATGATTTTTATTAGACTTTTAGGCTACGTTTGGCTCATTGGCGATGAAATTGGCTTTGTTTAATTGAGTAGCAAGCTGAAGTTGGTTGTGAGCCTCCTAACGGCAGCATGAAGATATTGTATATTGCAAGCAGTTAACGAAATAGAAGATGCGCTTGCCCGATTTGCCCTTGCATTATATAAGAAAAAGTAAATAAATCTATGTATATGCAAACAACTAACATATGGTTTGAGTAGCAAAACGTGAGAAATGGAAATATAAATTAAAATAGCAAAATGAGCATGAAAATAAGTAAACTTTTACGCTTTGTCACAAACTTATATAATATATTTCACTTCTCCTCAAACTTTATTTTATGATGCAGATGAGAAAGACCAAGCGAAAATGGTGTAACAATTTGTACCTTTTCCAATCTTTCTTTATGGAGGTGATAAGAAATTTTGTCCTGTCTGGTCTAAAGGTAGAGTAAGACTAACCTTTAACTACAGTCCTGACTTTGTCAATAAAATCAGAGGAAAGACTAAAACGCATAGATAGAAATAGTCCCGGCTCTGGTATGGCCATCGTTCAACACAATTGTAACTTTTCGAGAAAATTCAAGTAGCCTGATAGCTGGCTTTTGTCTTCGTGGAACTTACAGCAGTTAACATGGCTATAGAACATGCCATTCAAAAAGGTTATCATAACATAACTCTCGTAACTGGTAGTAAGTCCGCTCTTCAAGTAATCTCTAGAAAGAAAGAATATGTACGTTGGTAACATCTTTACAAGTACAATATTTTTCTGCGTATCGGGATTGCATTTTGTTTGGATATCAAGCCGTTACGACCCTCTATTCAACGACAACGCTGTTGGTTTAGTCAATAAAACAATCACCGACGGAGGGCTTTTTCGGTCATCATATCGTGTCGATCAATATATTCCTAAAAAAGCCTTAAGGATAATCAAAAACTCTCTTCATGGGGATCGGTATAATGAATTCCAAATCATAGTCAGAGCCAAACATGATTGCACTGTATATCAACTGTGTCCAAATATATCCTCTGCGAAAGTGGTCAATTCATGTGAAATTCAACTTCTATAAATCGCCTTCTAACAGGTCACACGTAAGGCGAAACCAAAGCGCATCTAGGAATCTTTGTGACACATGAACCTTAAGAGAATCTGCTGAGCAGTTAATCTTCAAATGTAAAAAATATAACAGCATCAAAACAGCATCGTTTCAGTTTTTTCTTATTCTTTCCGGTTTTAAAAATCATCCTCTTAGCATGCGATTCAGGATGTAACGCAAGTATCTGTGTATCCTTGACTCACTAGGCTTTTTATTGTAACATACTACGTCTGGGCCCCACGTTAGAATGGGGCCAGTTATGTGTAACGGCCCCAAATCTCTATGTCAATTTAGCCTTCATTTGCTTTAACTTTGTATGATAATTAAAATTTAAAATAGAAAACTAGAAGGAAGGTCTAAACAAGTCGCAAATTTGAAAGGTTTGGACAATGTAAAATGGTGGACGCACGTGTCCTTGATAAGGTTGTTAGTTCGGGAGAAATCGGGTTTAAGTCGATTTATCAAAGAAATACATGTGCTATAATCCATATGACGACAAACGGACGGACGAAACTTATTTACCGGACGAACTGATGTTATGCACAGGGCCACTCTCTACCCTGTTCTACCTATGGTCTTCATCAGCTTATAACTTTATATATCTCGAAGTTGGGTCCGACAATCCCTATAATCTGCTTTCCGTTAACAAAACCATTGATAAAAGTTTATCGAAGAAAAAATAAGTAACAAAGTTATATTATCACCATAAAAATCTTTGGCGTCCCATGTAAAATGAAAAAAATATGTACTCATTTGTAACTTTGTGTGGTCATAGGCAATTTTTTCTACTTTTGCACATAAATACTAGAGTTTTCGTTAAGTAAATGTGAAAAATTTCAGTTTTCTATCTATTACAATTAGTAAGCGATGGGCGAAAACCCATATATTTTCGTTTAGAAAAACATATTTGCGTTCAGTATACGCGTCACTGAGTGCGTGTGCTGATCTGATTAATTTGTCCCATTTCCAGGGCCAATCTGTGTATAAGGATTTCCAATGTTTCAATCAAATTTGAAGTGGACATCTTTATTTTTGCGACCAAGAGAGAGTCAACAACACGCATCATACAGGCACATAGACAGCCAGACATGGCTTAATCAATTCAGCATTTCGTGCTGATCAAACATGTACACACTTTATAGGGTCTTTGAAGATTCTTTTTGGGCGTTGTAAACATTATTCTAAAGTGACTATACTCTGCGTCCTTTTGTGATGAGTATAAAAAAAGTACAGAACCTATGTGACGTTGAAAAGCATTAAGTTATGGTATATAAATTGAAAATGGTTGTTTATGTAATATAATATTTCTATTTTATCATTTTTAATGTTTAATAAATTTTGAATATTTTTCGTATTTAATAATAATATTTTGAGCTAATACGTAAGAAACAAACAATAAAGAAAAATCTGGAAGGAGGATGGAGAAGATACTGATGATGATGGTGCAGCGGCAGTTGTTGCTGATGCAAAGATGCTATAGTTGACATTTCATTGACAACGTCTATGCTAAAGTTGGTCTTACGATTCGAAAACTGTGCAATTTAAATCTACAACCGCCTCTTAATGTTAAACACACCATTGTGCATTCCCGCCACGTAAACTATGTTAACTATAGTATTGAAGCCTTTTCTGGGTACCTAATGCAAGGTATAACTTAGATAGGCTTCAAAGCATTGTTAACCGCATAACACATTTTGTTTGTTTATAGCCTCAAACTTAAGAGACCATATCTTGTTCTTCGTTCATGCTTTCTTAAAATTATCCTTTCCCGATTATTTAGAATTCAGGTTGCTTATATACCTGTACAAAATCATTTAAACTCGGTCCTCAAGGTTTTTAATTGGCTGACGGTAATTCTCTAGATCATGTAGAAACCCGTTCATATTCATATTAGTACCAGGTTTGTCTATCTCATCAGGCGAATAATCTTTCACTGGTCATGATGCTAGATATTGGAATGCCTTACCACAGAGTCTGAAATCCTTCTATGATTCTTTGAATACGTTTAGAAGAAAAGAAAGAAAACTGACCGCACTGCTAAACTCATAATGTATATTTTGTTGCTGGTAGAAATTGATGATTACGGAGTATATGGAGCAAAATGATTACATTAGTACCCATCTAGCTGACTTGTATACTCACTTATGGTTATAGTTTCTATTTGCACATGAATCTACATAATTAGTTAATAGGCCTATGGCTTTCTAGTTACTTAATAAATGAATAAATTAAATTCTTTTCGGTGATATACGATGGCTATGAATTCGTTTCAGTTTACGCTTTAAATGGATGTTCAATATTCAATCACTGAGGTTGAGCATAATAAAATTGAAGTCAACCATAATTTATTTAAACCTTTGTATTAAGTTTATTCCGGCTGGGAACTATTCGCTATTCTCTTAAATCTTTTGAGTACAAGATGGCGCTGGTAATATGATTTAGTTCGTTCTATACATATTTATAATTTTGATATCGCTATTTAAAATGTGATATCATACACAAGGCTTCAGTTATACTGTCCCGAGCAAATTCATGCGTAGAAACTTCTCTATCGTTTCGAATACGTTAGAATGATGGATTTTTCTCAGATGTATATTTATATGTTTCCTTATATCAAAAAGACAATTTTCATTTCATGCATGCATGAATGAGTGTACACAAATGTTATGTTAAAACAAGCCAGAAAATTATATTTGCTCGTGACCGAATCTTTTATACCCATCACCAATATCCTGGAGAAAGGGAAAATATATACGCATTTTCAAATTCTTTTGCAAGTTTGTAAGCGGCCTAGGTATCGCATAGACGAACAGATGGATAGATGAACAGATGGACGTGATGATATTCCGAAAGCGTATTCCGACTTTAAAACTGGCTAAGAATTGATATACTTTATGAGGTTTTTGAAATTTGCTTCTGCGCTTCATAAAAAAGGTAATTATGATAAACTATAAAATTAAGAAGGCATGGCCGATTGTTTCTATTTTTATAGAGGTACGACAACATTGCCCAAATTTTTGCAGATTTAATGTGCTTTAGTTTATGAGTAATGAGCAAAAAATCAATTTTTTAATCGTTCTGGAAAACAAAGATGCTATCAGCCTACCCATCACTGTAGCCGTGTCTTTTGTTTTTTGACCGATTTTCAATAGTAACCTGCGTACAAGAACTTGCAATGGTTCTGCCAAACTTGAAGCCAATCTCTACATTTTTGCGGCCAAGAGAATGCGTATAATATATAATATTACATAGATGGACGGACGGAACGTCGATCGAGAATATATATACTTTGTGGGGTCTCTGGAGCTTCCTTCTGAGCGTTGCAAACTCGTTTTGAAAAAAAAAAAATATACCTCTTATCCTTTCGATGATAGGCATAAAAAAAATTAAATTAGGATTACAAGGTATGCACACTTTTGATTGAATGGATGTGTGCATGACGCTTTCTCATAACCTATCATTTATTTTGGGATAATTATATGCGAGCACAGTTTGAGCCGCTATTGCTAAGAGATCTTATCATGTATCCACTCCCAGTACCAATTGTATACTATTTCCCGGTAAGTGTACTGTTATAAATTTATAAAGCGCATGAAATGAAGTCCGAAATTCCGAAAATCTGCCAACAATTAAAATTTTACGTTCCGATCATAACGATTTTAGCGAGACTTTGGAATTTGTAGAAACTGCGAATTTGATGTATTTTACAGCCGATATGAATGCTGAGTTTTGGGCCCTCAAAGATTTCCTGCCAGTGCAAATAGTATGACTTGCTGCTGCTCAAGTCAATTACATTGTACATGGGAAATAAACGTTCTTGAGAGAGCAACAAACAGCGCTGGACGTAAGTGATATGACTTGCTGTTTATGTGCATGCGCGAATAAAACCCTTTAATTAGTTGCCTAAAGTTCTAATGAGCACTTGAAATAAGTGTGTAACGGGTGAGCGGAAACGTAGCATTCTCGTCAACTGAGACTAAGCTTTTCAAATTTTTGATTGGCAGTGATTGTGTACGGTAGGCCAATAAAGTCTATATATAGTACCAAAAATTAAGATTTCTCTTAATAAAAACTGCATTTATGAGTTGAGGGTCAAAAAATATATTTGATAAGAAATCAAAACTTTTTTTTTTGTGACTTAAGGCAAAGTTATAAGTAAAAAATATACTTTAATCCTATAAAAAAGGCAAAAAAGTTTGTATACGGCACTATCATTGAAAGGTTCGAAAAGGAACATCTTTACTTAATGGTACTTAGTTTTTGTAGTTGTTTTCGTACATTTAAATAAAATGAATAATTCATCAATTAAAGCGAATTTCTCTATTTCTGTCCTTTATTTTTGATAAGAGAAACTCTAATGTACTAACGTACAGTATGTTAAGTTTATTGGACCATCGTATGTTTATTTTAGTATATTAACGGTTACACTGTTATCTGGTATTCGTTTGTCGTGCATAGGTAAAAATAATTCGATAAAAATGTCAGGTTGTGATCATGGCATAAGAAATCTTAGCGAAAACACAAGCGCGTAACACAAGCCAATGAAACGCCGCTAGACGAATAAGGAAAATATTATAAAGAAGGCAAGTAATTGTAAACGTAAGTAGGAAAAGGAATATAAATAAAAAGTTTATATGAAATAATATAATTTGATATATCTCGACTTTAATTATTAAAATGCATTGCTCCTCATTGGAATGCTGCGATCGAAACTAAATCATCTATCTAAATGATAAATCGTAATTTCAATCGTTAGCAATAATATTCACAACCGAATGATGACGATCATCATGTTAACATTTTTCTCGAAAAGAGTATTTATTTTATATTTTCTTCTATTTGAGAACGTATTAAGAGATTTGTTTTTAAATAAATTTGTGTAAGAAAATCCTGTACTTAGATTATGTATTTTGAGTAGATATCGCTAAAACTAATCCGGGGATGTTGTAATTGATTTTGAATATTGCAAAATACAAGCTTAAATCTTTTTGCATTTCACGGAACGAAGAATGAATTGAAAAAATTGAAGGTCGAGAAAATCATTCGAGTCATTTGAGGGAAATATAATTTTGAATATGTATAACATAAATTCGAAATGAATTTTTTTTTTGTTTTTTTTTTGTATAAATTATTATTAGATTTACTTGACCAATTGAAATGTTTTATTGGCTATAGGGTATACTACATGTATAACTGAGTTGAGTTCGTTTTTAATTGATGATTAAATTTTTTTTATTTTTTTTGAATTATATAAATATATATATGTATATATATGCATGCAAATAAGAATAAAAAAATGGATTGGAAAAAAAAATATGATAAATCGAGCCCTACACAATGGTGAATATTATTATTGGTAGATTGAGAAGATTCGAGTCAAGCTGAATGTGAATTCACTTTTGTTCAAGTTTCCGTTTCTTATTTAGATGAATGCAATTAAAAAGAGGAAGCAAAAAAAATTAATAGAATTTATAGTGACTGTGTGTTATCAACCGGTTTTCATTTTTCATTTTTCATTGCATTTTTCACAATAATAATGTCAAATTTTATGGAAGCCGTTGACATAATTTCAGTGAACTGAAGATAAGTGATTCAAGCTAGGAATTGTGATTTTAAAGCCGCAATTGTTATCAATAAACAATTGTTAATGTGTGTTTATGTATTCATTGGGGTTTCATAGTAGCAAAAAGTGATAATAAACATTATGATGCTTTTGTTTTGAAGTAATTGTCTTATTATTATGTACGATATCCGAGAGATTGAGGAAGCGAGCGAGCGAGCGAGAGAGAGAGAGAGAGAGAGTGAGAGAGAGAGAGAGAGAGATTGATCGATCAAGAGATAGATAGATAGAGGGAGAAAGAGAGAGAGAGAGAGAGAGAGAGAGAGAGAGAGAGAAAGAGAGAAACATAGAGAGAGAAAATCCCAGCGATAAAAGAATAACGGAAAGAAAAAGAGCAGTAATAAGGGAAATCTGTTACTTATGACCGTTAATTTTTAACTGATTCAGTTTCGGTAAATATGTACTTCTACTTAGCTTCTCATTTACATTGCGAGCGATAATGTTGCGAGAGTAATGCAATTTGAATTCCAATTATGTTCATTTGTGCTAACTCAGCTTTCAAGTCAGTTAGTCAAACAATCAGTCGTTTAAGACCCTTCCATAAGAGTTTAATTAATCGACTACTTGCAGACTATTGTTAAAGGTCTACATAATAACTTCTAGCGGTCAGTTGTCGATTAACATTTTTATAAAGAAATATATATTAAAGAAAAAACTGATTTTAAGAAGACAATTGTGTTGAAAAATGAATGCTAATGAAATCTGCAAACAAAACAATGAAAATGAACACATCCAGTATAGTCCAGCAGTTTTAGCAGCTAACTCTGTCGATTCGATACGTTTTAACCTAACAAATGATTGGAATATTCTAAGCTCGATTTATGATTTACTGGTGGATGAAAAGGCATTTTGTGTCGCCAGCCAGGAATGGAGCGAGAAAATTGTGCTATTCGAGCAACCTAAGGAATTAGAGGTATTTAGTGTTTTTAAAGTTACACAATTGGGAAACAAATTAATTATATATCAACATTTGTCACAATTTATAGAAGTGAAGTTGGCAAACAGGAATTATTCTTAATGTTCTTAATCGCTAAGTTTCTATCCAACAAGTGAAATAGTGACTTAGCGCTTCCGCAAAAAAAAAAAAAAAAAAAAAATGGTTCATTAGAGAGGTGATATTGTTTATGAAAATGTTAGGTATTAAAAAATTCGACTTAATATATATAGTTTTCGATTTTCTCTATCAATTTTCATATCCATCAGCGAACAATAAGGGATATGTTAATTTTGTCAAAATATTTGCAGCGCCCACGTTCAAAAACTCCACAAAGTATATGTGTTCTTGTACAGTGTAAAATTCTGAATCGATTTAAACATGTTCGCTTGTCCGTCTGTTGTAAATCTGTCTGTCTCCGGCTCTACAAATTTGCATAAGAATTTGGAAGTGACGTAAACTTATCAAGGGTCACGCCTATAACGCCCACATTCCTCTATGATAAAAACTTTTCTTTTGAAAATAGAAAAACCGAGCCGCACTCACTCCCTATTATAGAGTATGAAAATTTGGTTCTTTTACTTTTTCGCTCTTCTCTAGGATAACGGTGCTGGGCATAATAGATTCAGTCACGACCGAATATAATTTTCTTACCTGTTTTCTTTCTTTTTTTGAGCTGGACACGCGCATACGAACAGATGTATTCTATCGAATTTCATTTAGTGTTTTTTCCTTCTCAGTTAATATCCATTTTGGTATTCAAAGTTTCTTGTAAGCCAACAGAATTGTGTCAACTTTAAATGAAAACCATTTACACATATATAAAAAATATTCACGTTTTTCTTCGACTTTCCGTTAGCGGGCGTTTTCACTTTATCGTCATTGTTTTTATTAATTGTTTTTATTGTTGTAAATCAACAAAATACGTGCCATTTTGTTTAGTTGTTGTTTTTTTATTTTTTTTTGTCATAATGTTGGGCCAACGTGTCAGCAACATTTGTTTTTCTGTGCGCTGGTTAACCGAATATATTTTGCAGATTTTTTCCATAAACTTCCCTCCTCTTCTTTTTTTTTTTAAATTATCTGGCCGTCTTGATCTTGTCTGCGTATTTAAGTAAGCGTTCATGCTCATGTCCATAGCGTTGTCATCTTAGAGACTACATGCATGCGAGCTGTATTCGTTCGTTTCTATCTGTAAGCGTAAGCTTTAATTTAACATGACATGACGCTAATATGTATGTATTAAGTGTTTTAGTTGCGTTTGTATCTAAGTTTGTGGTTTTATTCAATCTTTTTTTTTCGACTCGATTATTAAGTTATGATTTTGCGTTGACAGGTTGAATTACTGCAGAAAAATATTACAAGTTTGCAGTTATGCTTTCGCGATATACACTCTTGCACAAACTTGTTTGCTATCACAGATCTATTTTACGAAAGTGACAATTCTTAATAATGATTAAAGATAATTGCTAAGCTACGTTAATAGTTAGACTTTCAACAATTATCGAAACTTTAATTGCTCATTAAAGCGATTCTAAACTATCTGGCTTTGACTTTTCGTATATAGAAACTCCATTTAGTCCTTGTGGTAATGGGTAACAACCCGAGCTGGCGAAAAAATATAATACCATGTAGTCTCCTCATATAATATGGAAGGCCCAAGACGAATTTTGAGGCTAGGCTTGGATGCATGAATTTGTGCATGGAGATGAATGTTGGGGCAGACCAATTACAGTTATCAACAATTGTTGGAATATCCCCTATGAAATGTGTAAAACCTTATTACCGTTAGCAGATCTTATGCCGACCTAAATCATATATATCCCCGGAAGTCAAGGTCAAGCTTTTAAAAGTTCTTCCTGACGTAAAACTAATCATTAAAGTCATTTCTATGTCCTTCTTGGCTTGTACTTTTTTTCCATTCTCCTGTAAACATACAACAAGCACGATAGTGGTGAGGTCTTGAAATGAACCGTAATAGCGACAAGTTTCCGAAACCAAAAAATTTTTGATCTTATACATATATATATATGTTATATGCCTAATTCACTTTTTATGCTCTCATATTATGCTCTCAAATGAAATGAAAAACTCAAAAAGAAAATAACAAAAAAAAAAAAAAAATTGAATTTTGATCAAAGCGAAATGTTTATTATTCGTAGTGTTATTCGCTTATCAAATTTATTAAGTGTTTGGATCATACTTGGCACGTGATTGATTTTTTATTTTTTAAATTGTTTTTATTTAGCATCAAAGCATGCGAGTATGCTAAACTTGCAATTTTGTTAGGAAGACCTTACGAAACATATTGAATTTTGATTAATGTAACAGTCTGTATGAACCAGAAACATTGAAGCAGAAAATTTCGTCGGTGTAGTCTTGGTAAATGGCATCAAAGCAAGTGCGAAAACGAGTCTTGCTAGTGCCCTACATAGAAAAAACTTTTATCTGCAATTTATAATACACCTCTACCCTCTGATCTAATTCGCTAATTGAAATGCACGTAATTAAGAAGACTCTGAATATATAATAAATTAGTTTGTCGTGACGGATAAGCCTGCGACATATATATGACTTGTACTTATTTTATTTTTTATTCTATTTATGCGTGGGTAAACTGTACCGCGACCTAGAATATCTATTGTGCAATATATAGCTGATCGTCTTAGTTGCTGCTTAGTTGCTTATCCTACTTTTAGTTCTAGAATTTTTTTCTTTGGTTAAAATAATATTTTATTTACAGTGGCGAGCAAACCTGGATAAAATAAGACATTTGATTAGCTTGTCCTTATTAACTTATTCATGAATATTTATATTTTTTACAGTTAATTAGAGGAGAGTAAGGATTAATGTGTTTATGCAAAACTTTGTTCTCTGCTGCAATAAGTACAGGAATTGTATGAGCTTAACGTACTATTTAATATTATGTATACACGTTTGCTCGTCACTGTACATTATTATAAATTACATCAGATTCTATTTTATATCGGTGCACAATATTAATGAAATCCATTCCAATCCAATCTGTTTGTCTCCCTGCTATAAATTTTGTCAATGCTTTTCATTATTTTCGAATTGTGACTGGTGGTGAGAGCTTTTTCAATGTCCTATGCGTAGTCACAAAGCTTAATCTAAAGGAACCGCAAGACCAAATCGCTGCGTTTCACGGGAACGGTAAAGGACTTTTAATTCTGTTGACTATAAATATATTAATATTTACTTACAGGCGTGCCTAGTATAACACGGTCAATTCGTACCGCGCCGCACCGAAACCGTCTTATACAAAGCTTTTTAAATATTTATTTAAACTAACTAAGACGGACAGATCGATAGATGAACATATATTCCGGAGGTGCATTTCGAATTTTAAATTGGCCAATCAATTTTTTACTCCTTTTAGAAAACAGAGATGCTCTCAGTTTACGTGATATTGTAGGCGTATCCTTTGATCGATTTGGCCAATTTTTAATACCAGCCTGTGCGCAATAATTTTGAATGTTTCCGCCAAATTGGAAATCGATAACTTAATGTTGGCCAGGAGAACGTTTATAACAGATATTATACAGACGGATAGACAGCCAGCTGGATAGACGGACACGCTTAAATCGATTCAGAATTTGATAGTGATCAAGAATATATATATTTTATGGGGTCTCTGAACCTTTCTTTTGGGCGGTACAAACGTTTTGACAAAATAAATATACTTCTCATCGTTCGGTGATGAGTATCATATTAATTTTGATCAAAAGATATAACTAATCTACGTTTTTCTTATCGCAAAAATGATTGAAACTCTTGAATAACTCCTGATATATCACGGCTTAATATTTCTTGACTTCGCTATTAGAGTGCATTATATTGAGAAAGTTAACCTTTTCACTAATTACGGTAGAGCGTATGTAAATGCCACTACTAATCATTTGCTTGTGGTTGACTTTTCCTTTTTGTATTCGACCAACGGTGTAAATAATGAATAGAACATTCTAATAAAATTATTTCATGATCTTCTGTGCTTGATTCCTAACTCTATAACTAAATTCTCTCACATGTATAATTCCTCGTTTAACTCTTGGGAGATTACATACTTGCGCTCGCTTAGAGGTGAAGCATATTAGCACTATACTTAACGGGGTAATAATAATAATTGACAAACATATTGTAACTGGGCGAAGAGATGGTTATCCGTTCAGAAAAAAGGGAGTACTATTGTACGATCTTCCTAAAGGCTAACTCAAAAAATATGTGGAACATATTGCCGGAAAGATGCGTTACGGCCAATGATAATGATATGTTATCCAGCCTGCATGTGAATGCAGCAATTATCTTCATTATACAAAGCCAGCATCAAATCCCTATATCGATCCTTGTGTATTGCAATTCTCTGATGGGCCGGACTCTTTCACTTTTGCCAACATCTGTTAAAGGCTCTTAATGTATTTAAATCCTCCGCTAAAGAGATCGATGACATCACTATTAAGCTAATTAAATTTATATATCATCGTTTCCCCAGGATTGGAAAATAGCCAAAATTAAATCAATGCAGAAACATGAAAATTCGTTAGCCTTGAATAAGTTAAGACCTATTAGCATTCTGCTATCTTTTTTCTAAATGGTAGTACATATCATGAAACTGCACAGTTTGGATTCTGTGCTCACCGTAATATGTCCGGTCTCTTGATTCTTATTATCTTTATTGAATTAATTAGAGAAAATCTTAATCAAGGTAAAATATTTATACTTACATCTTTGGACCCTTCGAAGGCTTTTGGTCGAATCCCTCGTTCATTACTTATTGAGAAACTGTACTACAATTTTAAATTTTCTAGAAACGCTTGTTATTTTATGCAAAACTTATTTACTCGATTCCAAGCAATTCGTTTCCATTAACAATGTTTCATTTGGTTAGATAGTTAAAGTGAAGTTTCTGAAGTTTCTTAGGGCTCGATTTTGCGTTCCACGTTTTTTAATGTTTTCTTGGACGCCTTAACTGAAGTTATAGAGACAGACGACTGTACATATTTACCTTACATCGGCGATATTTTGATTCTCTTGAGGTGTGAGAAGTAACGGTTGCATGCTCAACAATTTTATTTCGATTAACGAGAGCAAATCAGCAGCTGTAGACATAACGTGTTGAAATCTGTAGCATAGGAATTGGGAAGCCTTTCATTTTTTGCTAGAGCTTTTTTCTTTAGCTTACTATTTACTAATGACACAGGCACTTTTCAAACCGAAAAAGGACAAAATTAATTAGCATAAAAATCATAGTAGACTTTTTTTCTAATGTCTAAACAGGATGACATCAGCAAATTATTTGATATGTAAGGGAAACGCACAACTATGGGTGCACATCAGTTTGAATACAAGTTTTTTGATAGTTCTGTTGAATTGCTATTCTTTCATTGCCAATCAACTTGGCTTTCATTTAAAGATGAAATTCATCCTCGATGGTAGCCGTTATTCGCCTTTCTTTATAAGATTCGAATGTAGTTCGTATGTATGGGATTTGCATGCAGGACGCATAACGCGAACGATTCAGAAGTACATGGATGGCTAGAGTCTCTGTCTGTGAAATAGCGGACAATGTTACTGTGCTTATGCGTAGTTACATTCTTTTGCTTTCTTACGACATCCTACTGATACTGCCTTAAGCGTCTTATTCGTTGGACCCATTTCGAACGAGCTGCCTACGGTAGTTTTTCTCATCGGTTCAGATCAAGTCGACCATACACAAACATTATCACTCTTTGTTTTTCCCTTACCTACCATGGTGGATATGGCTAGAGAAGATACCCACCGAATGTACATAAGCAATATATATATATAAGAAAATAAAAAAAACACTATTAACTCCTTTTATATTTTAATTTAGTTTTGTTTTAGTTTTATGCATATGCTTTTTTTTCTTCCAAAGAAAATCATTGATTTGACGATTGATGAAAACAAATCGCTAACCATGCCTGAAATAGAGAAAATCTGTCGTCAAGTCATAAAATATTCCGTCAAAACTAGCCACGGACGTTTTCATAATCAATTGTTTGGACAGATGGATCCGTATGGCTTAGCTGGAACTTGGATTAGTGAAGCTCTCAATACAAGTGCGTAAGTTGATGAGAATTGTGCAAATATTATGTAAAAACTCGACTCACTTCTAACTCACTTCTTTTGTGATTTTCTTAACTAACTAGCTATACATATGAAGTAGCACCAATTTTTTCATTGATTGAAACTGAAATAATAAAAAGGATTTGCGAATTATGCGGCTACGTTAATGGTGATGGTATCTTTTCGCCGGGTGGCTCAATATCTAATATGTAAATAGTATTTGATATTGTTGTTGATTTCGATGAAAACGAATCATTTTAATACTCAAGGTATGGCTTGGCTTTGGCGCGTTATAAACGTTTTCCTAATATTAAAACTGCTGGCATGTTCGGTTTACCGCCTTTGGTATTGTTCACATCGGAGGAATCTCATTATAGTTTAAAGAAAGCCGCACATTGGCTGGGCTTTGGTATGGACAATTGTGTTGAGGTTACGACCAATGAACGCGGACAAATGTCTGTAGAAGATTTGGAGGATAAAATATTGCAAGTCAAAGCCGACGGGCGCGTGCCTTTATTTGTTAACGCGACAGCCGGCACTACAGTGTTAGGCGCGTTTGATGATTTCGAAAAAGTGGCTGATATATGCGAAAAGTATGATCTTTGGTTACATGTCGATGTATGTTGTTGCACGTTGTTCGTTCTTCACTTGTGTGTAATAATATTTTTCGTAATTCGTTAGGGTTGTTTAGGTGGATCTGCGCTGTTTTGTTATAAATATCGTCAGCTATTGAAAGGTCTACACAGATCGAATTCATTCTCTTGGAATCCTCACAAGTCCATGGGTGCTCCGCTGCAGTGCTCCCTTTTTATAACTCGAGAGCTAGAATTGTTGCCTAAGTGCAACAGTTTAGCGGTTGATTACCTTTTTCAACAGGATAAATTTTATGATGTCTCCTACGACACAGGCAATAAGAGTGTACAATGTGGCCGTAAAGTGGATGCGTTTAAATTGTGGCTAATGCTAAAAGCACGCGGTTATGGCAGCTATGGTCGATTATTGGATCATGCTTTAGATATTTCAAAGGTGTTTGTAGATAAACTAAGGCAACGCGAAAGTCGCGGATTTCGCTTAGTTATTGATGAATTTCAATACACAAATATCTGCTTTTGGTATATACCAGAACATTTGAGGAATCTAGAAGAGACCGAAGAATGGAAGCAGAAATTGTATGAGGTAGATATGAAAAATAGAATTTGAAGATAATGTTTTAATTTTCGGTTTACAAAGGTGGCCCCAAAAGTAAAGGAACTTATGATACGCGAGGGCACACTAATGTTGGGTTATTGTCCTTTGCAGTATCGTAATATAGGCAATTTTTTCCGTATGGTCTTCACCTGTTTTCCGGTAATAACAGACTCCGAGTTAGATTTCATTTTAAATGAAATTGAACGATTAGCCGAGCAACTGCACAAAGATATCAATGGTTTCGTTTAAAGCTTACAAATGTCTTCTGCTTTACATTTCAATTCTATGGCTGCCACGTATAAATTTTTTGTTGCCTTTCACAACAATTAATACAACAACTTCGATATATTTTTATTTTTCTTCTTTGTCTTATAAGACTGCATTTAATATTTAATAAAACTGAATGAAATCAAGTTTATAATGAAAGTAGATTTTATTTTTAATGCACTCTTTTCTGTGACCAGGCTTATGATCGATTGTTGTAAGATAACAGTCGGACACCATCGCATTATCAGTGTTTGATCAACCTTTGAAGAATTTTCAAGATAGGGCACGAGTGGTATAACTGATCCTATACTATATATTATAGGTGAATGATACTATATACAACTCCATGTCAAGTCGGTCATCTGTAGGGCTTACACAATAGGCATGAATCACTTCGCCGAAGTTTCATGCTTGCTTACGATAAAAAAAACAAAAGGAATTAAATGATGAAAACTAATGTGGATGGAACGCAAAAAAAATTTACTATTACCGAATATTTAGAGTGAGTAGTAATGATTTAGAAGTAAAGTAATTGAATGCTATATGAATTGTAGCCGAGAAACGTGGAACGGCAATTATGGACATGAAGAGTTCTTTCAAATAAAACAAAACCACAACGTTATCGTATTATCATATTGACATTGATAATGAAGATAATACGTGGACTGTGAAAATCCTCGCTGACATTGAGAACGAAGCCTCGCGTACAAGTTATGAATTGTATAGTGTAGCCTGTTATGATCTGTTTTGGTCTAACAATTTATGGCTTGGAAATACTAGCAGCAACAATCTATCGAATTGTGTTGATCGTAGATGAAAGAAGGACTTGTGAATATGTAAAAAAACATTTTAGAGTGACATTTTAGGAAGACGCCGCCCGCATTCATATTGAAATACGTTTCACAAACAATGCCTTAAACATGCTATTACAGAGCGAAATACCTTAAACGCCGTGCGCAATGACTACATTTGCATCATACACCATGCGTCCGAATATGATTTGTTTGTATGCATTCATATAGAGGCGAACACAAAGACTGCATTGCCTTGTTACAGCAAAGCAAACACTTGACAAATTCTTTTGCATTGACAAACGAAGCAGTGATGTATTTATCAAAACAAAACAAAATCATATGATTTGAATTTTTATTAAAACAACTCTGTTTATGATTACTAGAAGAAGGAACCTAAAATACATTATATTGCTATATATATATATATGTTTGCGTTCTATATCATTTTTGATGCAGAGTGTAATTGTAAATTTTGAAATCGCTGAGTAATAGTATTTCGGCAATCGAAATTGATGAGAAAAATTTAGATCGGATGTGGCAATTTTTGGAACACCAATGCAAAACTTCTTACGACAGCTGAATGCCTATGTGCTAAGGTTTCAACTTTTGAAATGTTATGATGCGAATTGGTTCACAAGAGTAATTTGATATATCAAATTTAAATTGTATCTCATTCTTTATAAGGATTTTCACGAATAATAAGTTTCAAAAAAAAAGGTATAGTTTTTAATATTTTACGATATAAAATTAATTGATTGATAATAGCAATATGGTGTAAAAATTAACCGTAAGATATTTGGATCGCATAGGTCTATTTTTTAGATCCCACCAAATATTGGGGTGCACATGAAAGGTAAGCATTTACAGGCCGACAAAGTCTAATTTGTAGTTTCCTGTTACGATAGCAAATGAAAAATAGTAAGAAGTAAATAATTTACTTTGCCAAATTAGGATCACATAGGTCTATCTCATGAACTTTACTCCATGTAAAACTTCTCATAAATATTAAGCTATTGAGAAAGCGGTTTAATTTTTAATATTTTACGATGACAATTGGCCCATCCTAGCGAATGAGCCAAAACAATAAATTTGGGCCACTTAGGTCTGTTTATTACACCCTAACTTCTATTCGGATTCTAATGAAAAGCAAGCTCTTATGTGAAGAGAAAGTACAATTTCTAGTTTTCTATGAAGGAAATTGAAAAATAATAAAATTTTTGGGAATTTCACTTTGCTAAATTTGGATCATATCATACGATGTTTCGGATATCGTCTAATATGCAGGCTTTCATGAAAAGTACGCATTTGCATGAAAACTATGTGTAACATTTGATGTATAACAACGCGAGAACAAGTTGGTGTAGGGTATTTAATGGAAGCCTAGCTCAACTATAATCTTCTTACATGTCATATCCACGATTGAACGAAGGGCGTATACTAATTTTATTATAATGTTTGCAACACCCAAAAGGAAGCTTCAGAGAACCTATGAGGTATGTATATTTTTGGTCAGCTTGAAATGCGGAATTTGTTAAGCCATGTCTGTCCGTCTGTACGATCTGCTTTGTTGACCCTCTCTTTATCGCAAAAATGAAGTTATTGACTTCAAACTTCGTGGAAAGGTTGAACATTAGAGAAGATAGAAGGCTGAAATTGTCCACATTTACTTTACGAAATATTCTAGTATCTACGTGGCAAAATGGAAAAGATCGGTCATACCCACATAAATTTACAAGCGATTAAATTCTCTTCATTTCACTTTCTTGAGGTTTAATGTTTATTAAAAATGTGATAAACAAGTCAGAACGTTGCAAATTATTTTGGTCATTCCTCAAATGGAGATATATTATGTGTCTAAAAATGCGTTAATTCTAAAATGAATATGGCGGACACCATAACATACCACGCCCGGGTAAAATTTTTTTTTACCATCGACATGGGTATCAAATGAAAGGATTTGAGAGTAGAATACGAAAAGCTAAATACATTAATTTTAAATTAATTACGACGAACGTCACGGCGTGATCAATTAATTTTTTTTTAAGAACACCTCTCAATGGAGTAAAAAGTTAAAGCTAAATTGTATCTCATATAATAATAAATAAAAGTATAGGGCGTTAAAAATTTTAATAGAGGTGGGTATGCGAGATTCGGCTTCATCCGGATACAACTCTCTTACTTATTTTAATTTCAATTGTTTTACTCGAGGGAAGAAGAAGGCATGAGTCTTTAAAGGAAATTAAAGCTATAAATTGAATTTGATGCACGCGTCAATTGATGGCTGATGTGCACACTCTTGCAAACACATCAAGTATATTTGTGAAGATTTGATCTGATCGCAATCAATGACTCTGAGTGCGTATTTTTGTTAGTGTTTTTGTGCATTTTATTTTGGATGCGATCATCCATTACACTTAATGTGCCACAGGGGCCTATTAAGTTCATCGACTGTCTGCAAAGCATCGAAATATGTGCGCGCGGATTGTCTGCAAATTTTGTATGCTCGCACATATTTCTCATTCGCACGGATTCATTTCGGTGTCTGTAAAAACGCAACTATAACCTTAACTCCAAATTTAATTTTAAGTCTCTCTTTTCATCTGTCCAGTGTCGGCAAAATCCGTGCGCAGATTCGTTCATAGACATAAAAATTGGAAACTTAGTAAGTTATTCCACTGCGCCGGATTTGTTGCATTAAGTAAGTAAATAATTTTCTGTTTTCATATGTTAAGTGTGCATGCGTATCTTTATCGCTTGCGCTTAGGTAACATACTACATTCAAAATGCGGTGGCATAGTTTACTTTGTCCTTACTCAAGAACACTGAGAACAGATAAGGAGCAAATACGGATTCAATTTGTTTTCTTTCTTAATTTAATGTGTTTAAGTATTCTGTTCGTAACCAATCTCACGATGAGCTTTCACTATTCACTTCAATATTTCCTTTCAAATCAACTTATTAGAAGAGGATCTGAAAGCTTTAGCAATAGTTTGTGCTTTAAGATATTATTATTATTATAATTTTAGACTAACGGAATAAATTCTTAGACTAAAAAAAAAGACAGTGAGCACTAGCAACACAGGCTATCGGCTCTAATTTATAAAAATACATTAGATATTGAGCCTAGTAGTTTTAATAAAGTAATATATCATATTGACTCTGTTCTTAAGCATCTACCATGGAAGATTTTGTGCTGACTGTGTATAAAAGATCCCACGTGTTACTCTCCAGCACTTGGGTTTTTTCAGCAATCATATTCCTGAAGACGTAATTTGGAGTGCATTCTTTCTTCTCCATAGATAGCGAAATGCCAAAAGAGTAGTTTAAGGTAGTGAGTTGCGGTTAGTTCCTTTCGAACTTTCTTGGCAATAATTTCTCACATTTTTGCCCGAGAACAGATTCGTTCAAATTAAACAAATTAGATACGATTTTAGTTTTCAATTCATAAAGTCTATTTTCTGAAGCTGGGAGACCAGTTTCGATTATAATGTTGTTGATAGGCGTCGTCAGAAAAGCAGAGCAACTTGTTCTAAGGGCTTGGTGATAGACCGACTTAGTGATGTTGAAATTAGATCTGCAGCTTTTGCTATAGATCATGAAAGCATCAATCAATCTTGCTTAAAGCAAGCATTTTGGTAAGATAAGCAATAGTGTTATTGTGCGCATGGCTTTTCCAAGCAACGTATTGTATGAAATTCACCAGTAAAAGTATTCTGAAACAGTAAGCCGATCTGGATTGGTTTTCATCTGAGAAAGCGCTTACTGTGCCACACTGCCATCGACACGATTGCATTCGTTTATACACTATCGGATTGCTCTTACTTTGTATTTGTCCATTGAATGAGAGGCAAAATGAAGCTACACTATTCGTGTGGCTTGTTCTTCATTTCTTTGTGTTTCGAACAATAAAAAAGTTTCCAAAATTTGTTCTGAAGCGGGCAATATTTTTATGTGGTTTTTGTGGTTTTTTTATTAGTGTGTGTGTGGTACACGTTTGCATTTATTTTTTCTTTTTAACAGTGCTTGTGTGTGTGTGTGTGCATGCATGCGCATTTTGAAAGCACGACTCATTTGTTATTGCTTCTGCTATAGTTAATGTTGTTTTTATGCACTCGTACTCGTGCTCAAGTGCAGCAAGAAGTTATGTTGTGCTAAAGATTTATTTTAAAATCCGGCATGGTCGTACTTCTTTAGCCTTCAGCTTGAAACGTCACGAACAGTGACAACCGTATGGCATTGATGTTGTGCAACAACAATAACTGCATTTTGTTTTCTTTTATGTGGGTTGAAAGTTTTCCTTTTATTCTTCTTCTTCTTTACCGTCATCTTCTCGGTATTGTTTTCG